ACTATTAAAACCATCCTATCCAATACAAATTGTTTGCTATTAACCTCAAAAATAGTTTTCAAAACAGGTTTTTGGTTTATTAGTAAATTTGGTAAATTCACCAAGTTGGTCATGCAACAAATTAGTCATTTTGGCAATTAAACTAAAGCCAAGATTTTAAACATGTCCTTACATAAAAGCCCCAAATATAAAAGGGCAGTACACAGAAAAAATTAAGCTTCTGAGATCCAGTAGGACCCCATTTTGCCCAGGTAAAGTCATTAGCAATTCTCTGTACCCCCCGTATGAATCCTGGAAACGAAGGAAAGCTACATTGAGATGTTCTATCTGTTTCTATCAGAGTGACCACTTGGTATTTGTACTGTTGGCTATGTAAATTGAAATTTTAATCTAATCTTTCAGTGGAACAGTCTCTTCAATACCAGTTTATAACCCACTTGAAACCCTGCAACTAGAGTCAGAAGTGGGACTCCCTTCTTTAGATATACTTAAGGTGCCCAAAATTTCAGTAATACCCATCCAGTGAGCTAATATATTATTCAAAGATAGTGAATAAGTTATTATTATTTGGGAGAAGGGCTTCTTTTCCCATAAAGTCACATGATTTGAAAATATTTTTGTTCCAGAAGTATGACTGCCCTAAGAATTTTGTGAGATTCCCCAGTAACCTTCCACTACTTTTTTTCATTTTTTCTTAACTCGAGTTGAAGTGTTACCTACCATTAAAACCAAAAAATAAAAATAAAATTTAAAAATCCTTGAGTAAAACACACATACACACACAAACCCACATACACATTTGTTACCATAATATGGGATTTACAAATCCCCCTATCTGACCAATACATTACAGCACATCTTCCCTACTGAATAGGTTACAGGCATACCGCAATAATGATCTCAGCCTTCAATCTAACTTTCTGTTTGAGCCATGACATAAAACATGCTGGGAAGCACTATTACAAAATAATCCAGAAATAAGGGTCTAAAGCAGCCGTGGGCAAACTACGGCCCGCGGGCCGGATCCGGCCCGTTTGAAATGAATAAAACTAAAAAAAAAAAAGACCATACCCTTTTATGTAATGATGTTTACTTTGAATTTATATTAGTTCACACAAACATTCCATCCATGCTTTTGTTCCGGCCCTCCGGTCCAGTTTAAGAACCCATTGTGGCCCTCGAGTCAAAAAGTTTGCCCACCCCTGGTCTAAAGGTATAGTTTAAGTGAATGGAGTTCTGAGGAAAAGAGCATGTCAAGCAGGCCTCTAGAAAAATCCTATATAATAAAAGGCTAATATGCAAATCGCTGAATGGCAGAACAATGTTCTATGGGGAATGGGCCTAAGCCATCAGTCAGATATCTCCCAAGGGCTCCCAGACTGCGAGAGGGCGCAGGCGGGCTGAGAAAACCCCCCCATCACTACCCCTCCCCCAGTGCACCAGGCCTCTAGAAATAATATAATTCTATCTAGCTTTTATACAACACTTTTATATTTTTTTAAATATCCACAATATTGTACAGCTAAGTAAAGAATACAGGATAAGATAAGTGTCCTAAATTACCACTGTGGGGTATCTAAACCAAGTAGATATCCTGTAGTTACAGAGGAACTGGGAGTTCCTAGCAACTCCAGGAAGAAAAAAACATATACATAGAGAATCCAATCTCTCTCATTATAGACTACTGAAAAAGATTTTTATATTTATAAAATATTCACCTTCTGTGTGTTTGCCCATGAAATATTTCTTCTAGTTAGCCACATGCACTCTTAGAATGTTTTATAAAATAATGCCCAGGTGCTTCCTTTAATTCAACTGAAGACATTCTGCCAAACAATTTTTTAAATAATAGAGTTGACATATCCTAATTTTTTTAAAAAGGGTACAATTATATCTTTTTCGTAAATTATTTTATTTTATCTTTATTTTTAGTTTCTTAAATATGTTTTTATAGATTTCAGAAACAGGAAGGGAGAGGGAGAGAGGGATAAAAACATCAATATGCCCTAACCGGTTTGGCATCATTTTCTAACTCTATTCCCCTCTCTTCCTCTCTGTAAAAAATCAATAAAATTTTTTTTTTTTAAATCAATGATGAGAGACAACCATTGATCGTCTGCCTCCTGCACGCCCTCTACCAGGATGGAACCTGAAAGCCAGGCATGCACCCCAACTGGAAGAAATCGTGACCTCGTGGTTCATATGTCCACGCTCAAGCACTGAGCCACAGCATATCTTAAAGGATCATACATTCTGTCAAAGCATCAAGATCAAGCAAAGCCCCAAAAAAATGGATGATTTTCCCTATGTTTCTGATGCTGAATTTTACTTGACTTGTTTGCCTCTATGTGCAAATTCTGTGACTTGTTTTCACTAACAGTATCCTGTTTCCATAGGAAAGTGCAGTTTGTTAGTTAACATTAATTACTTCCTATAACTAAGGTTGATATTCTGTAATATTCACATTAACACTCACTGTAATTCTGGATAACAACACAGTACAATGATAATCGTTAATGGACATCCACTATGGTGAAACCTGAATCGACAATCAGCTAACACAGATTGGCAATAGACTTCCTCCTTCCTGTTTTTACACTCCTAACCAAGGAGACAATGCTTCCTGTGGACTTTGTGCTACTTGTTAAAATGCAAAATATGAGAAATGGAAACATCCAATACATAAAAATGTATCTGTCTTCTAGGATAACAAACTGAATTGCTAGATAAAATTTAATTTTAAAAACAAACCATTAAACAGATTAATGAATGCAAATGTAGACTAATTCCCCAGAAGATTTTAGAAAATTAAACAAGAATATTAAATTGTCTAAAGTAGATCTAATGTGCAGTTTGCCTAATAGCTTACGAGATGATCTATATATTCTACCAAAGTCCTTTACAGGAGTATTAATCTACAATTAAAAGAGAAATTCTCTTAAGAATTGACTTTTCAGCAAAACAACAGTTAAAAACAAACAAAAAAACCCACTATTCACCATGGAAAATAAAACAGAAAATTAATCAATATTTATATACCCATTACTTTAGTGACAAACTTTCACAAAACAGAAACTACAAAAGATGAGACAAATTAATAAAAAAGGACTTCAAAACACCATTCAGTCCAAGAAAGAGCAGATGAAAAACAATATGAGGCCTTAGAAGATATAACCAACTTCATAAAGAGAGAGAAATGAATAAAACTGAGCCCTAATAAAAAAGAATCTGCTTTTTTAGGGTGAAAATTAATCACATATAAAGCCACAAATAAAACTTCAATGAATTCCAAAGGATAGAAATAATACAGATTAATCTAGCTATAATGTAATAAAACTAAAAATTATTAGCAAAATTTTAAAAATAAAAAACCCTTCACATCTGGAATTTTTTAAAAAGCCTATTTAAAAAATTGTTGTTGGATCCCCTGGACAGAGTCACTCAACTGGTTGGAGTGTCACCCCATGCACCGAAAGGTTGCCAGTTTAACCCCAAGTCAAGGCACATACCTGGGTTGCAGGTTGGATTTCCAATCAAGGTGGGTACAGAAGGCAACCTATTGATGTTTATCTGTCTCTGTCTCCGTCTCTCTCCCCTTCCTCCCTCCTTTCCTCCCTCCCTCCCTCCCTCTCTCCTCGTTCCTCTCTCTAAGCATGTCCTCAGGCAAGGATTTTTTTTTAAACTGTTGGATAAAAGGAAAATACAAAAATAAAACAACAGAATTTCTTTAAAATTCAAATTAAAAAACATGTCAGAATATGTGAAATAAAGCTAGCGTAATCATCAGAGGAAAACTTATAGCATTAAATAATTACATCAATAAAATAAATGAACCAAATACAAAAAGCTGGAAAAGAATAAAATAAATCAGAAGAAATAAATCATTAAAGATAAATGCAGTACGGAATGTCTTAGAAAACAGAAAATTAATGGAATAAATAAATTTAAAAATCAACAAAACAGACAAACCACCATCTAATCTTAAATCCAAGGAAGGAAAATGAGTGAAATCACAAATACCCAACATCAGAACTGACAAGGGGGATGAAGCGATTATAACATAAGACTATTATTTGCATAACTGTACTCTAATAAATTTGAAAGTCTAAAAGAGAACATTATCACAGAAGAACTAAAGAAAAGTTACAAGGCACTCCCACACAAAGAAAAAGCATAGGCCCAATTGATTTCATGGGGTAATTCTAACAAACCTTTAAATATCAGATAAGCCCTGCAAGATGTTGCTCAGTGATTAGAGTGTCAGCCCACACACCGAAGGGCCTTAGCTTTGATTCCCAGTTAAGAGCACATACCTGGGTTTCGGAATTGTTTCCTGCCCCCTAGTTGGGGCATGTGAGAAGGCAAACAATCCATGTGTCTGTTTCACATGGATATTTCTCTCCCTCTCCCCCTCCTTCCTCCCTTTCACTATCTCTTAAAAGCAATGGAAAAAATAGACTCTGGTGAGGATTAACAAAAGAAATAAAAATAAAAATCAATAATACAGTGCTATTTATAGTATTTCCAGGGTAGTAAAAGAGAACTTCCATTTCCTTTCATGAAACGAGCATAACATTTATTTGAAGACCTGAAAAAGACTGCACCAAAAAAGAAAACTACAAACCAATCTCACTTACATCAACGCAAAAAATAAATAAATAAAAATCTTTAAAAGCAAATTCCCTATCAGAGTCCAACAGCACACTAAAAGAGCAATTCATCATTACCAAGTGGGATTTATTCTATGAATACAGAAACAATTCAATAATTGGAAATGTATTAATAAACTCAATCACAGAAGGCAAAGAAGAAAAATTGTATGACCATCTCCATAGATGCAGAAAATACATCTGAAAAAAACTCAGTAGTCTTTCATGTTAAAAACACTAAATAAAATAGGTATTAAAGGATATTTCCTCAGCAAAACAAAATATAAATACCTCAGCCCAAACACCAGAGGTCTCTTTAATGAGGAAACACTAACGGCTTTCCTGTTAAAGTCAGGAAAAAGATAAAGATGCCGTCTCAACTATTGTGTTGCAATTAAGCTATGAAGTTAAACTAGACAAAGCAATCTACAGTGTAAGAAGTGGAAGGGAAGAAATAAAGTTATTTCTAAATACAGATTATACAATTACATTTCTGGAGACCCATAGGAACCAATGGGAAAAAATTACTACAGGTAAGAAAGTTTAATAAAAGGCTAAAAAAAATAAACAAAGATAATCAACATTCATATATATAAGCAAAAAACAATTAGAAGACATAATGGAAGAAAAGATCCAATTAAAAATAACAACAAAAAATACACAAAATCTTATGAAATTCTAAAATTTATTTGTGGAAAATTAACTCTCCTGAAAGACATAACATGCTCTTAGATATGAAGACTGCATCATCAAGAGGTCTGTTCCCCCTAATTATTTATAAATTTAACTCAATACAATAAAGTATTATGAGAATTTGTCTAGAGCAAGACAAGTTTATTAAGCTCATTTGGAAGAACAAGGAAGGTCATCAAGAAACCATGACAGAAAAAATACAACTAAAAGACAAAACGGACACCATCCAGAACCACAGGAAGGCTGGCTGAGTGGAAATTCTACAATTAAAAGGAAAGAGAAAAGCACACTGAGACTCAGAGGAGGTGCGGAAGTAAAGTGCAGAGGTACGGAGGCGCACGCGGAAAGGGCTAGCAACTGAAGACGCAGTTGTCTTTTTCAATCGGGAGGGAGTCTCAAGCTCCCGACTGCTCTGAACTCCAGTTCTGGGCGAGTCTCTGGGGACCCAGACTCATACAGGGAGAAACTGGACTGTCTGGCATCGGGTGGAACTCGAGGGTGGCTTTCTCTCAGAGGCTCTTGCAG